TAATTAGTAATAATCATTTAGTGGATAGCCTCTAAATTCTTAAAATCTATACGTATTATCCAGTTTAGTTTTTGGAATTAAATTTTTTTATTGAATGTCGTTCGCCGAATCGGTTTTGTTTTATATTACATATTATTGTTTATACTAGCGAAATAAAAATATTATAACTTGACGTAGTATTATAGAATGGGTCATTGATAAAAAATTGGTGTGCACAAAAGAAGCACCGTCCAACAAAAAAACACGACGTACAATTCCTTTCCTGTACGTCTGCCGCAGCCTGGGAAACGATCGGCGAGAATCGTACGCTGATTGGCAAATCATTTCCTCACCAAACATTACAGTCTGTGCCATCGAGACGATAAGAAGAAGATTGATAATAAGATATAAATGGTTCTATTGTATTATATTCTAAGGGCGCGTTCCATTATGTCGTAACGTTTTTATTAACGTTGGACGACTGTTGCGTCTAGCCTGTTCCCATATCACGACTATCTGTTGTGACTGTGTCGTGGACGTTTATTTTGTCGTTCAACGATTGTCGTGTCTAGCTGGAACAACTAAACTAAACTAGTTCATGAACTAGATCATGACGATAATTTATCGGTTCACGGCAGCCACCTTGTCGTTTGCACGACATAATCGTTTGAAGTTGTGATTATCTATCGTCACATTTTTATCGTGACATTTAAGTTATCATGGACGATTGTCGTTCTAGCTCTTCCCATTATCACGTGAATCTGTTGTCGTAAACTTCATTTAAATATACAAGCCACGACACTTCAAACTACACGACGCTACTTAACACTAAGAGCCCAGTTACACGAGCCGAAAGTTTTCGCGCGGCCGCCGCGCGATGACCGCTCAGTTACCACACCTTCATGTACATTAATGGCGAGTCTGAATTCTATTTACTACGTAACAACATTTAAATTGCCCTGAATAATGCCGCCCGGCGCGTAGACCAAATGCAAGACAGGCTAGACGGCGTGCCCGCGACGTTCATTTAAATTAAAACGTATAACAAATAAATAAAGCGTATTTTGCCATGACAGTTAGACGCACGCGGTCGCTGCGAGGCCGCAACGCGGATAAGTTGCCCCTATTATCATAACTAATGTAATAGATACTTTTAGCAAAATTGAGTTATTAACATATCTGGAATCAGCGACATGAGATCTACAACACCCTATAAGCGGATTTTTTACATCTTATTTGGTTTCTGTTTTATTGAAAAGCATGATCAACATTTTTTTTAGGTGGCAATAAAATTTTAGGTGTCAATATCTCGAAAGTTACCCAAACGCAAATGCGTTAGTTATGACATCACAGGGCTGATAAAAACGCACGTGCTCGAGTTACCAAATGACTTATAATGAAGGGGTTCATATTTTTATGTATTTGGCCCCAAAGTGTGATACGAATGTTCCCATACATGACTCGATTTCAACATGGGCGTGGCACTAAAGTTGTTAAGAAATATAGAATTACGGTAACTGCTGCAGTAGAGCTCAACCTAATAATAAGTTTATAATGATCTTCATATAGATAAAATTAGATAAACACTCCATATCTACAATGTCCGAACGCTTTGAAATTCAACCGACTCTATTAAAAATAGATTCTTTAATTTGAACATGGCCTATTATCGAAATCCTAATAAATATAATCTGTAACATTGTCTAGCCAATTTTTATAGAGGAATAAATTGATTATACTGAATATTTATTTATTTTTACAATTTGTTACGGAATTTCATACATTCTAAATTGCTATTAAAGTTAATGCAACCACACTGTAATTCATTGCAAAGTTCACAATTGCGAAATTCTTCTAATGTCCTTAAAAAAATCATTACCATCCTTATTCAAAATACCGAATAAAGTATGCTGTAAAGGATTATCACTAATTTCAGGTTTCTTACCACGGTATGACTTCTTTTTATTTTCTCGATATTTCGGAATGGTTGCACGCTCCATGGTCACGGGTTGACTGGACTGCGGCAGATCACAGCTTTAAGAGCAGATATATCTGTCTACCCTCTTGCGCTGTCGAAGACTGTCGTAATGGAAGGAAAGGAGCAACATACACAAAATTATTTAGCACATCTTAACAACACCCAAACAAAATGAATTTCACTGGTGAAATTGAGAAAAATCGCGCGCTTGCATTTTTGGACGTATTGGTCAAAGTCCGACAAGACGGTTCACTCGTTCATTCTGTGTACAGAAAACCAACTCACACGGATAAATATTTACATGCCACTTCACGTCATCACCCAAAACACCTACATTCGGTCGCCAGGTCATTAACCAATAGAGCTTATGATCTTTGTGATGCACACCACCTGCCCCAGGAACAGGACACGTTAAGACGGTTTTGCGACGGAATGGATACGAAATAAAAACATGGAAACCAATATACAAAAGAAGAAGCAAATTGACGTACAGAGACTACCAGTTTTTCTGCCCTATGTACACAGGAGTGACAGATAAAATAGGCAGGTTGCTAAGGAAGTTTTCCATAAAAACTGTTTTCAGCCCCTTAACCAAAATAGGAAAAATGTTACGTTCGCCAAAAGAACACCTTCCTTTACAAACACCGGCTCGTATATCGGTCAGACTAAACGAACAATTGTCGATCGTATGAAGGAACACATCCGAGCATTAAAAAACAATGATGCAGAAGTCGGCTATAGCACAACTAACCACTAGATCGAGTTGCAAAACACCCAGGTACTGTCGACAGAACGTCACAACATACCACGGTTGGTACGAGAAGCCATGGAGATCACGAAGTACAAAAAGCTTAACCGTGATGATGGTTTTAAACTGTCCAGTGCATGGAATCCGGTCCTTAGTGTGTGCAGTAATAAAAACAAAAACACCTCGAGTTCAGTTTCGCGTGTGGATACAGTGAATGTGATTTGTGTGAAACAAGTGAGTGACAATGGTAAAAAGCCACAACAAATCGAGATGTAGGTAGTAGTGGTCGACAGCGTAAGAGGGTAGACAGATATGTCTGCTCTTAAAGCTGTCATCTGCCGCCGTCCAGTCAACCCGTGACCATAGAGCGTGCAACCGTTCAGAAATATCGGAAAAATGAAAAGACGTCATACCGTGCTAAGAAACCTGACATTAGTGATAATCATTTAGTGAATAACCACGAAAGCCTTAAAATCTATAAAGTAGGCTGTGTTCACTGCGAGTACTGCATACTTTAAAATATTTGCTTCGGTACTTTCAAGCAAGTAATACAACCGACTTCGCCTAACAGATTAAGTAGGAGGACCTAATATTTTGTACCTTTCAATCATTACTCTCCATTGCAAAAAATCTGGGTTAGAAACATTCGCAATTCAGAACTTCACAACTGAGAAAACAGTCAACATGCAACAGACAACATGCTATAATGTAATTTGAATAATATTCTATATTTTCAATTAGCCTTAACACTAACTGTATAATATTTAGAAGATACATTGGATTCCTATCTACCAATACAGGGTAGAATTCAATATTTTTCGACATTTTCCTTGTATTCAGTTCTCGTTTTGGCACCAAACCTATTTACTTGCTAAAACACAGTATACTCAAACTAGAGTTGATATCTGAACAGTGTAGACTTTTATAGGTGGAATCAAATGTCTTCAAAAATGATCTTACCACACATCAGCATTATCTCGTCCAGAGGCGTCTGTGCCGGCCACTTTGAATGCTTCTATGCAGCTTACATTTATTTTATTCGAGTCAGGTAGGTACTCGAGAACTCAAAGACCCCATCGTACGTTAATTCAACATGTTGGGGCAACATGGCTAATTATTAATATTTGCTTTTCTAAGAGTTATGTCGTAGGTTGTACTTCTGCGGGTGTACTCATTCCTAATTCTTATGCACAGAGAAAGTAAAAATATTGCTTGCTCAATTGTCTGCTGAGTTTTGTTATGATGCCTGTAATTAATAAACAAGTCCCGAAACAGATAATAAAACAGATTTCTACAGCGCCAGGTCTTTTAGGATTAGAAAGAATTTTGGTAGGAGGCGTCCTATCTCTTAAAATACAATTGATAAATAAGTTGATTGACTGATTTATAGAACACTATACTAAAGAATAGCAAGAATTCGTTTTATTACATTCCGTACAATATAAAGTTTCTTACTTTACATTGTACGGATTTGTTGCGGATTGTTTCAGAGGAGTGGCATCAATGTTGTGAAGTACGACGATCGCAATTTTTGTTTTTCAAGATTTTGCATAAGCCTTCAAATTAGACGTATTAAAGCTAATTAGTCAAGACATTTGTATCCACCTACACACTAATATTATATCATATTTCAATGACCGTCAAATTATTGCTACAATTGTCATAACTGTAATGCTATATAAAATCTGTCATAAATTCTTACTACTTATATATTGTTTTTTTTTAATCTGACCATTCATACATACACACAACTTTTATTACATGACAATAAAATAATAACCGATAATTACGATTACTGTAAAGCAACAAACAGTAGTAACAAAAAATATTCTTTGGTAAATAAAAACATAGCTCAATTGCAATGTTCATTAAAATGTAAAAAAAATATGTATGAACAAGACACATTTAATGTGTAATAAAAACATATCACGAGTTTGTGACGTAGAATTGTATAATTATAACTTATTACACTTTCAAAAACTTATAACTGGAATGCTTATATGCATAAATGAAATTATTTACTTACAGATTGTCGTATTTGTTGCCTATTTCATTCAATGTGTTCGCGTTAAGGGCTTTATTTTTATAATAAAGTATTTTATGTACTCACTGGTAAATAAACAGTTTTTTTTATTGGATGTTGATTATTTCATGACAGCAAGTTTAAAATTATAAAATAATCAACATTACACGTAAACGCTAGCGGTCGCTTGATTTAGAGCGGTTACACACGACGACTTTAAGCAGAATTGCAACCTTTACACACGCGCGCGTGCAAGCAATGCAAACGCGATTCAAGCGCGCGGCTGCTTCGATACAAACGTGCGATTGCATTGCCTATAAATCGCTAGTGTAGCGATGCAATCGCGTGTTTCACGAACGCGCGTTTGCATCGCTGCTGAAAGTCGCCACGACTCACTCTTATTTACTCATAAGCGTAGATAGACAATTAGAACTCTTTGCGTTTCTGATTAGATAATTAATTTCATTATTATAAGATTCTCTCGGTTAAGTTTTCTTAAATCTAGTTCTTATTGCGTGAACAAATTCATTCAAATTTCGACGGGGCATAACAGACCGTATAATAACTTTTGAGGTCATTATATTTTTCCTTAAAATACAGTCGCTACGACAATCGCAATGTGGCAATTAACTATTAACACGAACACATTAATTAGAGCGTTTAATCGATGTTTATACACAAATCGATAATTTTAATGTGTATTTAACGTTTAGGTTACTCCTCCTCTGATTCGGTGTCCGAATCGTGAATTGTATTGAACCAGTTCTCCCAATTCGAAGGTGGGCCCATGATAGTCCGGCTGTGGAATGTACATGTTTTCTTGTCATTTAAACATTCCGCATTTTAATAATTTTAAAGAAGACTTAAAAAGTTACATTTTTGAGAAATTGACAAAATATATTGTAAAGAAATAAAAGTTTTGAATATAAACTCAATTAATCGTTTTACAGACAAATAGAAATTTATTTTTTTAACTGCCTCTGTGGCCGAACGGTTACCATGCCGCACAGCCAAGCAGAGGTCCCAGGTTCGATTCCCGGACCGTTAGAAATATTTGTATGGCCTACATTTATTTCTCTTGTGAATTTCGACTCATCCAAAGAACAGAGTCCGATGTGATTATACAGCGAAAATAGGATAAATATATAATATAGTTATTCAAAAAAGGCCTAATATCTTATTTCGTTTCGGACATATAAAATCGAACATGGTGGATCTGGTATATCCATAACGAAGAACAACGAACGAAATGTACAATGTCCTGAGAGTAAGCAAATTCACACACATGGTTATCTATGCGTGTCCATGGCACCCGCGACACAGGGTTTCCCTAGTGCTTGTTATATTATTATTTGGCATAAACCAGGCTATATCGCTTGTGCCACGTATGTTTTTTTCTTAAATCTTTCATGGTCAGTACTTAAATAGTAGCGTACACAAAAATGACGTTACATTTTTTGTGCCGTAGTGCTTATATTGATTCAATATAAAACGTTCAATGTAAGTCGTTAAATTTAGCCAGTACGTTGTTCGTACTTCCCTATGAAGAGAGAGGGGGCAACTGCACAGACCGCACTTGGAAATCGCACTGTAAAGCCCGTAGTTGGTTTTTAAGATCATTAAAGCGAGACGGGGTATACCGTTCTACCATATTCTGATATTTAATCACACGATAAACGCCGTTACTGTCCATAAATGGGTTAATCTATTTTGTCAGTTTTCCAAAAATTAGTTTTCGAATTAGTTATAAAGGGTGCGAAACGCATTCAGGGTTAAAGCAGTGAGAAAATTCACGGCACTTCCTATGATTGAATAGGTACTAAAATATGTGTACCTACTTCAAATTCTATTAAAACAAATAAATTATGTTTACTCGTATGCACATAATATAATACGTACGGGTAGGCGGAGAACGTTAAATAAATCAATGTATTATCATTATCATTTCAGCGAAAGATGTCCACTGTTGGACATGGGCCTCCCCCAAAGCTCGCCACAACGACCAGTCTTGTGCTGCTTGCATCTAGCGGATTCCCGCAACCTTCTACAGTAGGGCTAGTATGATAGAGCGCAACTTGCGCGATAGCGACATAGAAGGCGAGATATTGCTATTATCTATGGGACTATAGCAGTTTGTCGCGCTTTATGTCACTCTCGCGCGAGTCGCGCGTCTTCGGTCCAATTGAAATATAGTATAAATTTCAATGTTCTGGACTGACCGCGGAGTATCGCAGCGTATTTCTCTCTGCGTCTCAGGGCATTGAAATTTATACCTTATTTCAATAGTTAGAAAATAAAATATACATTAATAAACTTAAAGTCCTCTGCCTTGCCGCCCGCCGGTATGCGCGGGCGGTAAGGTAAATGTAGGGTAGGGACTCACGGCTGCTTGGTGACGGGCTGCGGCAGCGTGCTGGTGGCGGGCTGATGCGGCGCGGGCGCGGCGGGGGCGCGACGCTGCAGCGTCTGCGTGCCGTCCTCCTCCTCGCCGTCCCAGCCCTCGTCCAGCACCCATCTGCCGAACACTTTTCTTTTTGAGACGACAACCGCGCCTATAAACGTTCTCCAAAAAAAAATCGACCGTATTGAAGCGGTATAAGGTTTACTTTCGTTTCTTATAGCAAATGAATGGGTAATATTACAGGTGCGACTATTATTTTTACAATCCAAAGTAGCAAAATACTTTTTCTTTATTATATAATAATGACACGACCATAACGTACAAAGCGAAAATGGAGGTCTGAGCTCAAGTATGCGACACTCCGCGTACTGTTGGCGCACGTGGAACGCCCACTAAACACTTCTACTGCATTTATTGTTCTGTGGTAATAAATACCTGGAACTGCTAGCCGCCTTGCAGTTCTCGCACTCGCTGCGATAGTCGTCGGCCTCCTCGCCGTGTTCGCCGCTCTGCGCGTCGGCACCCGCGCCCGAATAGCTGCACACGCACGACGGCTGCAGGTAAACAAACATCAATCGTACTTTAAACACGATGTACGAATACTTTAATCCGATCCTAAATATCGAGGAAATTGACGGTTGATATTGTTTTCTCAGCTCTGTATGAAAATATTTAATGTCAAAGTATTTACTGCTTTCATGTGTTACATAAAATTAATACAGCACTTAAAATTAAAATAGTATCAACATGACCCTGTTAGGTTAGATCGCCGCAATTAAAAATATACATTAATTAAAATTTAAACATAATATAAAGCCATTTTAAATAAAACCTAATAAATTAAAATGAAGTAAAAAATGTAATGCTTATAACACAGTCGATGCCCTGATCTGATCTGATGATGATTCTGAGAGCGTGAGTACGTAATTCAACAGAAAAGTGTAAAGGAATTCTACCTTTTTGGTTAAAAAATTGGTTTAAAGTTTCTTAAAACATCATTCACTAATTAATAATGTAATAAGGAAGTCATACCAAAATTAATTTTACAGCTCATTAGTTAAATGTTCACTTTGTTAAACACCCTTCTTCACACTAATCTACTTAGAACCAAATACATGGTTAAGGGGTTTGGTTTCTTAGAGGATCGACTATACAAGGAAATTCGTATACCTATATTTATAAACATTTTTATCATAAACTAAAACATAATAATATAACATCACTGATCCTGAAGAGGTCTTGAGGATGATAGCGGGAAGAATGGACTCGGCTGTCTTCCGTAGGTTCACTGTTTAATTTAATTTGATTTAGTTTAATTAATTATTTTATTATAATTGCCACCGTTGTTTCTAATAACTTAGCTCATAAGGTTACTAACAAAATATGGATTAATTGGTCTTTCACTTCACTTATTTTTCACTTCAATTTGGTTTGTCATAAATTAATTCATAAAATATCGGTGGAAAATTTAGAATCTTATTTGCAATGACTGTGCTTGCAATATACTGTGTAACACTATATACCAATTAATTTTATCTTTTCATTAACATCATAAATTACTTAATTAGCCAAATGTGCCTGACAACAGAATAAAAATTTCAGAAATCGACAGTTGGAAAGAAACGGCAATGCTTAGTGACATCATACTTAAATAGCACCACAATCTATAGACTGCTCTGTTGGGGACAACAGCAGCCCATTAACCGTGTAAGGCAAAGGTTAAGTAGCATTAGAGCTCCTTATGAAAGAATTCCTTATCAAACTCACGACAGAAGTAAATGTAGGCCATACCAATATTTTCCCAACTGGGCAATCGAACCCGGGACCTCTGCGTGGCAATCCAACATGGTAACCGTCCGGCCACGGCGGCAGTTAAGACAAGCCGATGAGTTTGAAATTATAATAATTATAAAAGTACATTAAACCACTGATAAAAGAGTCTACACTGCCTCAAATGGCTTTGGTTGATTCCGCATAACAAAGTGTCGAATCAAACACTTTGAAAAAATATATAGTAAAATTGAGGATATACACTGATTACTATACGGTGTGAGAACACTATTACTAAAAGTTTTCACGATAGAAAATAATCTCAGTACAAAGTACTAAAAAACCGGCCTCATAAGTACGTGGAATTACGTCTATTTGCCAAGTTTTATTGAAATATCCCCTAGTTCGCCCCTATACAGGACTTGTCACAGGAGATAATAAAAATCGGTTCTCACTACTAAAAGTATTTTGAGAGAAAAACGCCTTGAATTGAAGAATAGCAAAACCAACCCCTAAAATAATTGCTCCTTATAAAAAAAATTTCGCGCTATTTATAAAAATGAATCTTCATGCGTGAACAGCCACCCTTAGAGGTGGATGATTTTCTTCAAAATTAAATGGAACCACTATGGAGGTACCCTCTTTCCAACAAAAAAAGTATCATGAAAATCGGTTCACAAATACCTGAGTTATCGCGTAACATACATACAAAAAATCGAGTACAGTCGAGTTGAGAACCTCCTCCTTTTTTGAAGTGGATTAAAAAACACAAACTTACATCGAAATTTTACAAGAAAACCGCTGTACTCAATAGGTCGATACATATACCAATTTTTTTTTAATACCAACTTAAGTAAATAGAACAAGTGTACTATACGATATACTTTTACGAACGACTTTAGTATGTAAAAAAAAATTCTGAAATAAAGCCTGTGTCCTGCCGATCGAACTAAGCAAAATGAACAGTATTACTTAGTACGGGAAAAAAATTCGAGCTGATGTAATATCGCCCCTTAATAACCTGTCTGTAAAAGTTAAATACCTTGTCGACAGTGAGCGGCAGCGTCTGGTGTGTAGCGTCGGGCGGGGGAGGCTTCACGGTTTTGTCTGCCCCCGCCTCCTCGCGCCGCTCCCCGTTGACGGCCGTTCCGTTGCAGCCCCCGCCAGAGCTCGAGAGTCGCATGTTTATTCTATAATTAGATTTATACACAATATTTATACGACGAATTAAGTTACTTTACATATAGAACGTTGAAATTGATACCGTTTCTATACTTAAGTTTAAAATTGAAAAAGCCAGAGTTTCGTTTAGTGACGGTGTCGTTTGGATGCGTAAAGACAAAAACAACATTTTGCTTTTGTCTTCGGTCTCCAACCGGTACAACTGTTCCAAATTGAGCTTCAACATTTGGAAAATATAGACACTCAATGATCGAGTATTTAGCCGGAAACAGAGACGAAATGTAATTTCATTCATTTCAAAACTATTCTGCCATATCATTACGGTGACAACTGCGCTCCGATTGGTCAGTTCGAATTCGAAACAATTTACGGGTGTCGTCAATTGTTTCACTTGAAACCGACTAGTTTAACTTGATCTTTGCTATAATGAGATGGGCTTGAAATTTGCTAAAAAATTTAAAAATTACACATTTAATTACCGATGAAATGTGATTCCGTTTGTTTATCAGTTTATTTATAGTTTTGTGAATATACGGAGACATACGCACAGGTCAATTGCTGGCGCTGTACTATTTCAGCTTTCTTATTTGTGATTTCAGTGCAAACGAGATTTGATATTTAAAAGGCACATTTATCTGATGAATTGCCAGGGGTAGATGTGCCTTATTTCGTCTCTATTTCTGGTTATACACTCGATGGACTCAAAACTTACGAATCCAAAGAAGCTGGATCCCGCGACCTAAGATGCGGGAGGTCGGTGAGTTCAGGGCCGACAGAGGCTAAGTTGAGATTCCTCGGCATGGAGCGACCGGTGTCACCCGGCGGGGCCCTCGGTTCGCCGGGTCGATGGAAGGAGCGGCGAATTTCTCCCAGCCCTAGCCCGCGCTCGCCGCAGCGGTTGAAACCGCCCAGGCCGCTCTCCAGCATCGTGGTATCCACCGCCGTGGAGATTCGTGGGATTGTGCGGTGTCTGCAACACGAAAGTACCGTACCGTGATCAGGAACAAAAAAAACCACAGGATAGGCTAATAATTAAGTAGATGAAAAGAAGGATGTAGGATTAATACCTAATGTACCCAAGTGTAGAAGTCGTAAGCCGGACGAAAAACTAGCACCGACTTTAGCAGCAGTAGAGCTCCTTGTGAAAGAGTTCGTCCGGGGATGTACTGCCACCTTACCTATTTCTGCCGCCAAGCAGTAATGTTAGCATTACTGCGTTCCGGTTTTAAAGGGTGCTGGTAAAATTACAGGCACATGAAACTTGTCAACTTATGTCTCAGGGCGCAGTGGCAAGTGTCTCTCAGATGTTTACGATTTAAAGCTCTGAGTGGTACTGCAACTGTTATGGACATTATAAAAAAAAAGAATAAAACCCAAAAGGCTTTATTTATTAATGATAAAACTTCAACATAAATGCCACAAATAAATGTCTAAGTCAGTTATTTAGTTGGTCATCCGTAGTTTGCAGGTTGCTCAATTTCAACCACAGTGGCAACGGTGACAAATGTTATTTTAGGTTATATGAGAAAATCGCTTTTTCGTTGTTAAATGTTTTTTTTTATTGATAATGAAAACAGAAGATACCGGTAGTGAAGTGTGGGGTTCGAAACACGATTGACTGAACGTCGCTCATTAATAAAAAGCACAATGTTCCGCAAAATTCTATTGGCATCACGAGATATTTCAACGAAATTTTCTCTCCCGTGTTCCGTAATAAATACGTCAGGATACTATGAGCTTAATTTACAGTAAGATACATATTATTTGTAAAAGACAAATGTTGAAATATCGTGCAATGAATTTCGACTTATGAAATATAGAACACGTCAATGATAGAATAGCACTCACGAGGCATGCATGACGGCGGCGTTGGCATAAAAGCCTGGTACGTTGTGTGGGCGTTCAGGCGTCGGCTCGCGCTGCAGCAGGGTCAGCAGCCCGCGGTTGCTGATGGCGCCAAGGGATCCAGTCAGCCGCACAGCGTGGGGGAACCCCACCACTGAAACCACTACATGTCTCTAGCGAATTGTGCCGATGACACTTGTATCATTTTGGTGTAATGAATCTTGTCATCGAACAACAGACGCACGTTGACGCTGTTGGTAAGTTTTGGCTCATATCATATCATCAGCAACATATTTATACGTCCCACTGCTGGGCATGTTTCGTTTCCGAGAGTTGTGAACCTTCTTCGACGTACTACTTTCACCACGATATTTTCCTTCACCGAAAACGCTCATGGTAAATTTCAAATTAAATTTCGCACATAAATTAAGAAAACCTCACGAGGTGAGAGCCGGAATTCGAACCCGCGGCCTTTGTTTGAGCGGCGCTAGGCCAAACAATTAGCCCACCACGGCTTTTAATATTTACATGATCGCTTCAAACTGAAGATCATATAATACGCGCTGGATATCTAAAAAGTCAAAGTGATACTTTCGTTTCAGCGTACTATGCGTTGGGCAAATATTTCACACTATCGTATCGTATCGTAATCGTACGACTCAATACACTTCATTACGAACAATAAACTAGGTCTTCATTTGTAGAAAACTTACTATTAGGAGCGAGAGGATGGTGTATCATCGAGTTGGAATCTCTAGGTTCTGGAGGATGTACGGGCTGAAGCAGTGGCGCGTTATAACAGTTCTGTGGGTTTGGCATCTGCAAGCAATAGTAACATTTGCTAAAATGCAGAAAATTTGTTAACAGCCCGATTCTATACAAATCTTATAACCACATTATAACAGTACTGCAAATAATACCTAAAATAAAAATAAACGAAAAAAATATGTA